CCACCGAGCAACCAAAATTCCAAATGTGTTTTCAATACACATTTGTGCTCTCGATAAACGATAATTGAATATGAGTTGTTGATTGGGAAGAAATCTTCTTGGGTATGGCCTCATAATATGATGTTTCAAAGGAAAAGCTTCATCAGCAACAAATACATAGGGCATGTTTATATTTGATTGTGGTATAACAGAATCTTCAGGAATATTTAATCCTCCCTTTTCCATTACCTTTGCAACCCCCTTTTTTTTAATTCCCCCCCATCACTTTGTGAACCATAGGCACCTATATCAACCATTGTGAATAAATAATTAGCATCACAGGCTGCCAGGAGTACTATGCTAAATGTTTTTTTATAATTGAAATACAAGGATCCGCTATTCGCGGGAGCTTCAATTTGTATGTGCTTTCCATCTACTGCACCAATAACATTTGGAAAATTCCATTTTCTATAAAAGTCTGAAGCTATTTTCGACCAATCCTCTGTAGTGGGAGTTCTTCAAATATGTAGGGGAGAGAACATCCCATATAACTCGAATCACTTCATTTATTAATATGTGAACTGTTGTTATTCCCATTTTGTGTGACCATGCCCCAAACTCTGCCTTGAAACACCTTGTGACAAATACCTTGAAAAGGTAAATATTTGAATTGTTGAAACATTTAAATATCCTAATACCTTACTGATGGTAAATCTCTAGTTTTCCCTCTGGGGTAATTCTGTCAGAAATTGTTCATTTCCGGATTTTTGTGCCAACAAACGTTCAAAAAGTGGAACACTCATTCTTGTATATTAAAAAAATTGTTCTGGATCATTTTTCACTGGCAAAAATGTGGTTGTGTAGAATCCGCGAATTCTTTGGTCTACATTTGAAGGTCTTGTCTTAAATTTCCTAGATTTCCTTTTTTTTTTTTTGATCAGCGCACTTGCCAATAATAATAAACAGGCGGATAATTTTCTATTCTTTTTCAATTCATTAGCATGAGTGAAGGATAGAAACATATCCAACCGTACTGGTTTTATGAATAGAAAACCAACACAACATGATTTGACAGAGTAAATTCGATATGCGCATGCGCATGCTACAGTTTTGCGTTGCGGTGCGTCAGCTATAAAACGAATATTTGTTCTTTTGCGTTAATGATCCCGTTAGTAAGGGAAGTCACAGATTATGCTGTAGACGACTCCTCCCGATATAGAAGGCCCCGACACTCTGTCGAATGAGGCCCTCATGTCCCCCGTTAAAGGATGAATAACTTTTTCATCCATCCCACCCCAGCCAGGTAGGGGTATCCCGTGAAGGGCGGCACTGATGTCCTAGGACTTCATGCCGTCATCTATCAGTTGTGTGCCCATTGGCCCCTCTCAAGGCCAACAATCAGTCAAAAGGGTAGGGGAGCTGGCCTCCAAACCTGAATGAAATTAAGATGGATTTCGTCTTTGCGTTAATGATCATCAGTCCAAAGGGTAGGGGAGCCAGGCTCCAACCTGTCTAAATTCAAGATGACCTTGCGTTAATGATTATGTTAGGGTACGTCTTACGTTGCGTTACTTGAACTATAAATCCAACTTATAGGTATCCTTGCTTTGGCGCACGCGTATTATTTTATCTTTAGATCACTCCTATTTTCGCATCATATAGAATATGCTTATTACTGACATTATTTGAAATATATTTACGATTTTGTTCGAACATATTTCGTTTCAACCTGAAAGAAACTAAGTACACGAGTGCTTTCGGTAGACACTTTCTGAGTTAAATTGGCATACTTAAGAAGAAGTGTTCTACTTTCTACTGTTTTTCGTACCACAACCAAAGATACCTATATTTGTTTTACTGCCTTGCATAGCTCAGCAACCCCATTATCAATTCACCCGAATAGGTAGAAAGTGAAATTCATTTTCAAGCTTGGTCTAAACATCAGTTCGTCACTCAAAAAAAAAAAAAGAATACTCACCAATTGTCGGTATCGTTGAAATATTTCCCCCTAATTTAAGTTTATATAGAATTGTAGTTTTGCCAGCACCATCTAATCCCAACATTAGAATTTTCATATTTGCTTTCCCGAAAGGCCATCCGAATAAATTTGTTAATATATTTCCCATACTGACTGTTTACCTTTTTACAACTTTGACGAACTCTGCATTGTCAAACAACTTGCACATAGTCTGATAGGGAGTCGGGGATTTTTAGTTTATGAAGAATATCTTCTTTCATTTTCTCTCTTTTGTTAGTACCTATCCTTAACCTGCCACATGCCTTCAGTGTCAGCGCATATTGCTAAAAAATAATATATATTTTCTGTTCTTTATTGATTAGAAACCAACCTCTCTCAGATCCTTCTGTAAATATATAATGTAACTCCCCTTTGTACGCTGTGTTGCATAGCCTCAGTTGAAATATGAACTTATTTGTGGTGAAAGGTGTGTCCAGACCTGTCGAGACTCATTTGAAGGAATTTGTCAGTGGCGTATCACGATCTCCAAAGGGACTTGTATGAATTTGAAATAATAATAATAATAAAGGTCGGCTTAAATGTAAAATTCAGGAAAGTTATAAAATTTGAGTGATAATTAGTAAAACTCTGACAAAATTGAATAAGTAATTCCACTTTTTGTATCATATAGAAATGCATTTTTGTCTTGCTTCGAAAATGAGGCACTATGTCTTTTTCTTCACTTTTCAATCTCAACTCACAAGCTATCACTGCTTTGAATTTTTGGTTGACGGTCCACATTATCCAAAACTTTTCCCAAACACCATAACTGCAATACTTTTCTCGACGCGCCATTCACCAAATAAGTTGGCAAGACGCAAACTTGGTGGAACGCGCGTCGGGAAGAGTATTACAGTCTTGATGCATAGGAAAGGTGCTTGTTTTGGATTTATACTACGCCAGAGGTTCCTGCCATACCTTTGATTATGGTTCACATTACACCTATATATCATGCATGTGGGCCGTCTTATGTCAAAAGTTTTTATTTGAAGATTGTTTAATAATACGTTAGCTTCAAAATGGTTAGTGCGAGAGAAAAATTAACATATGATGCAAGAATTTCCACGATATGTTCTGCGTGTCATAGAAACTTCAGGATAATCCTGTATCAAATATGGTACCTGTTTTGAGATCAGCATGTTGCATTATTCTGTGAGAAAAATATTTTCTACAGTCAACTTTCAAATAGTTCATCAAACTTTCCATATGTGCTGTTTTTTTTTGCTATATCGACTCAAAAATTTTTTTATTTACCTCTGCTCAAATCACACCTTAAGCGAAGCGTCATCATACCATCCTTGTTATCGAAAAAAACCCCTCAATTTTATATATTATTGAATATCATGCCCTAATGGAAATAACACCGGCGCCACTGGTAGCCATAAACTAATTGTGACGTAGCTAAGAGTGCGCGAATGTTTGATGTTCGCTGCCATTCTAGAGGTGTCGAGAATAATGCTAGCGGCTTCGATGGAATTCCAAAGAATATTCCAGCGCCTTTGTTGCCAAATAAAAGCGCCACTCACTCGCCCATCGAGGCAGTCAAATGGAAGTTACAGTGCGGTACGCTGAGCGATCTAGTAAGGCGACAGACATTCGAGTAATAGTTAAGTTGAAGTGTTTGTTGTGTTTAAAGTGAAATAAAGTTAAGTTTGATTATTGTTCAGTGTCATCAATTATTGGTAACCCACGGGGAAAAACGTAACAATAATTTTTTATATATTGAACAGTTTTTTTCGGCTGCATACGAAAACGAAAGAATTATAATTTAATTTCCCTACTCAGTGCCTCAAGCTACAGAGGAGGAAATTTTTTAAAACAAAAATGGCAAGTGTTGGTGAAATTACCCGTTTCCTAAAAAAATCTAATTCACGTCAATATTCTTCCAGATATTCTCAGACTCTCCCCAGAATTTCCTGAACTATTGAGTTTAAAAAGAAATGGTCCATCTTCCTAAAATACGTCTCATGTTTTTTTTATATTTCAAACTCCTTCCGAGCTAAGAAAAAATAGGATTTTGGTGTCCTATGTTCATAACTGTCATACAGGAGATACTTTTACATTATACGATACTAGTTTTGATGAAATTATCGAAGTGTTTAGGGATATATTAGGAATAAAAAATCATCTGAATACGATGACATCTCCATGAATATATTTCAGAATCTTCCAAGTCTAGCGCTTGAAACTCGTGTCGCATTAATTAATCTTTCGTTTCGCAACGGTAAATTTCCTCCATTCTGTGATAATTCCCTTGCACAAAGGCGGAAATTTGGATGATCATTCTAACTATCGTCCAATATCACTTATACCGACCCTAGCAAAAATAATTGAAAAACTAGTGAAAAAAGGGCTCAATGAATTCCTTATTGCTCATAAAATCATCAAAGAAAATCAATTCGGATTTCAGGATAAATAGAACACCCAAGATGCAATTTTTTCCTTCCTGTATGAGATATATTCAGATATAAATGCCGGAGATGTAGCTGCAGCAGTATTTTGTGACCTAAAAAGGGCTTTTGACTGTGTAGACCACAAAATACTTTTGCGGAAACTACATTGCTACGGCTGTGAGGGAGTTACTTTGGATTGGTTCGAATCGTACCTAAATGGGCACAGTCAAGTCGTTAAAGGTGATATACCTTCAAAATATATTAATATAGATTATGGACTGCCACAAGGATCGATTTTGGGACCCACTCTTTTTCTTGTGCGACTCGAATCTTATTTTTTTTCTGTGCGTGTATATTCTACTTTGTCAACAAAACAAAAGTTTTTTCGACAATAAAGTATATTTTGATTGATTGATTGATTGATCTTTCGCTATTCAATATGATGATGAGTGTGTCTAAAATTCCAAATTGAAATCTCATTCTATTCTAATTTCTCATAACTAGTCAAATGAAAAATCGAGGTATGATCTGAGAATGTACAGGATTCTTAGATATCAGTAGAAATTAAATAACTATAACAATAAGCACTGTAGCTGTCAATGTCACTGATAATGTTTCAGAATTTCGCTAAATCAAAAACTAGTACTCAACTTTTCAGATCTTTAAGTTTACATTTGGTTCAAAGCAACATCATTAAATCTCTTGAAGAAGGAATTTGTTATGACTTGGCTGTTCTTGGCGGGGGAATTATTGGAACGGCCATAGCAAGAGAAATCAAGAAGAAAAGTCTCGATACAAAAACGATCCTTATAGAAAAAGAGAGCGATTTAGGAAAACATCAAAGCAGTCACAACAGTGGTGTTCTTCACTCGGGAGTGTATTATAAACCTGGATCTCTCAAAGCAGAGTTTTGTGTCAAAGGAAGAAACCTCTTGTTTGATTACTGCGAGAAAAAGAAAGTTCCATATAAATCGTCTGGTGAACTCATTATAGGTAAAAATTATAGAGACGGCGAAATTATCGAGGTACTATTCAACAGGGGTTTGGAAAATGGCGTAACAGATTTAAAAATACTAGACACCATAGAACAAATTAAAGACATTGAGCCGCAATGCAAAGGATGTCAGGCCTTGTGGTGTCCAAACACGGGAAATGTTGATTTCAAGATCTTGACTGATAGTTTAGGAAACGATTTCCGAGAATGTGGTGGAGACATTTTGTTCAATAATCAAGTCAAGAGTATTCAAGCCTCTTCCGATTGTGAATACCCAATAGTACTGAAATGTAATGAAAATTTATACTTGAAAACGAAGTATCTCATTATTTGTGGCGGTCTACAAACTGGACCCATATTAGATTTGATAGATAGCGAACCAACTGAAACTCGTGTATTCATATCTTTCAGGGTGACCTATCAACTATTGAAAAATTCAACAATTTCAAGAAACATATTCGCAGCACCTGTGCTCGACTTGCCATTTTTAGGTGTACATCTAAGTCCCCTCATTAATGGAGATATACTTTTAGGACCTACAGCTGTTCCGGCTTACAATATTGAGGGCTACAAAGCTGACGAATTGAATCTCACATACCTCAAAAACACACTTACATCAGACAATTTTAAAAATATGACGAAAAGACATTTTACTAAATGTGTAGATCAAATTACAAGACAAATGCTTCCAGGAATTCAGATCAAAGAGTTGCAGAAACTAGCCTCTGTATCAGTAGATGAAATTGTCCCTGGTCCTACAGCAGTTCAAGTTCAACTTGTGAACAAAGATGGAACATTTGAGGAAGATTTTGTTTTTGAATTCTTCAAAGGAGAAGGTATACAAAGGAGAATTATAAATTGCATATTCACTCCAAACCCAGCAGCCACTTCCTCACTGGCTATTGCAGAGCACGTCGCTGAACAATTTTTTGGAGCGTATTCACATTGATTTTATTAATATATGTTAACGAAAAATACCAATAATGAAAATAATAAAAACATTGAAGACAATGGACTTGTTTCATGCTATTTAAAATGATACTGGTTTGCTGACAAACTGATCGAGTTATAGTATATTATATTTATCAAGCCTAATATTTGCAGAATAAAGAACAATTCGAGAAGCAAGAGTTTAAATTGCCGCGTGTCTGTTTACTAATAAAATTGATCGTGTCTACAGCGATGTTGCCATACTTGGCAATATACTCATTGGTTTTTAATATCCAATCACAGAACTAAAATATAGTGATTCAATTTGACAGACGTCATCTTTGCCGTTATTGTTGTCAACTCGGTGTGAATACGACTGTTATGATCCGATTTGTTTATTACAATTTTATAATTAAAGAACGTTTTCTTTTATAAAAGGTAGGTTTCGGCGGGTGTCTATTTTGCTGCACATACCGTGTCATCAGTTTACATTTTTTCATCGAGAATAGTTTGTGTATGTTACAAAAGTGTTTTTAAGATATATTCCACTGTATGGATATGGTGCATTCTTATGCTGCTTTTTATTGTGGAGAAAGGTACAAAGAAACAGAAAGCGTATTAGAATTTCATAGGAGACTTAGGTTTCGTTTAATCTTGATTATATTTATTAATAATATATTTCATACTATGAGTTTAGGTTCCCAAAGAATGAAATAAAGAAAAACTGGGTGAAAGTGGTGGAAAGAATTTACTACTATCCTTCTACTCTAGCAAAACTTTGTATAAATCATTTAAAAAAAGCGACTTTTACATAAATAAAAGGAAACGAAAATATTAAATTTGATGTAACAGTTTTTGATTTCAACTTCAAATATTCTCAACAGAAAGTATTATCTGGAGATAATACTGTGGCAGAAGGTGTGAAACAAAACGAATCAATATTTTCGCAAAAAATCAAATGCTTATTTTTATTTAACTTCATTAAGTTTTATCATATAATTAAAGGTATTACCTCAGAAGCTTTTTGTCGATCAGTTTTAGAAAAATCAGTTCTGTCCATACTTGAAGAAACTCAAACAGTAAAATTGACTATTGTTACACTGGACCTCATTCAACTTTCCTCTCAAGTTATGGAAGATTCAACAAATTACCCAAGCGAGCCTATAATGCTTGAATTTAGTAGCAATATTAGGAAAAGGTATGCATAGGTGCGTGCGTGAGTGAGTGAGTGAAGACGAACGCATTGTGCATATTATTAACAAATGTTATATCAAATATTGACAAATCAATTTATTTTACCGAAGCCAATATTTGTGTTGGCCAATAAATTTTTTTTTATAATAGTAAATTGCAGTTGAACTAATTTGAACTAAATCTTCTTTCTTATGTATAAACTTATATACTAACTATAAATTGTTGTAATGTTGTAATTTTTTGAGTTCCATAACTGTACATTATTAAGTAATGTACAAAATCATAGTTTAGGTAAATATTTTGTAATCTTTCAATTTTGTGTACCTACTAATGGTTACAACCATATTCGTGTACATTTTATTTCATGTGTATAATTTTTTCATTTATTCAAACGTTAACGAGTTCATATACACCATCATTAAAATTTCTGTGATATCAACATGAAAATGTCTACTGCCGGAGATATTTTTAAAATATCTTTTTATTGCGTTTTGTTTCATTTAGATTCCATGTATAACTAATTCTGCTTTCCAATGCATAGAAAATCAGATTTTCAATAATTAATTACGGAAAAGCAACGGTATTTTGAGAACTGAAATAAAGCGCACTGTTTTTCAATTTATAATTACTATCAAATGAACTGTAGATCAAAAATCGTGAATCAAGCCCATTACATAATTGTATAATATATATCACAATCACTAAAGTAGAGAAAAAAAGTTACAATATACATATTATACATTACACGATTACACATAGGAGTGAAGTATGGTATAATATTGTCAGTGAGTACTATATGATGAAAAACAAAAACAACTTTTTGATAGGAAAGACTTCATTACTTACGACTGTTCAATATTTTGAGTCCCGATATATTCGGAAATTCATCCGTTACATTATTTTCAGCATGTGGTATATGAATTGATTTGCCTTGCCTATGATACATCATTTGCCTAAATGATCGAGAATAATAACTGCTACCGAGTACAAATATAAAGATAATATAAAGAGAAGGGTCTGTTATAATAACACTAGTTTCCAGCCAATTTACCACTGTAATGCCAAAGGCAGTTCTTTGTTCATTTTTGGTCCCAAAATGCGAAAATGATAGTAAAAACTTCCTTTTGAGTTGATAGTTTTTTTCACAAAAATGTAATTAACACGACATTCCGAATTGGCTTTTTCCTTTAATTGAGTAAATTGTTTAAAATCTGGCAACACAGCGGCTCTGCCTAGTATTCGAATCTGCTTCCACTGTATAGGAGACTTGTAACACCGCTTCTTGAACTTTCCAGAAAATACCAGAAATATAGAACTGCAATAAAAGTAGTAGGTTGACAATCGAATCATCAATATTGGTTTAACGCGAGTAGTAGTGGAAGTGAGGTGAGTAAACACGCGAAACTCGACGTACGCAACAATACAAAAATGTCCAAAGTACAGAAAAGAGGCTGCGTTAATCCCGCAGATAGTTTTTGCTATATATGTGGCCAGTTTACTCCTAAATCGCAGAAACGTCCAATTAATCAAATGATCAAAGTAGCTTACCATAAGTACTTTGGATGTGTTGTTGGTGATCAAGATCGGGATTGGGCTCCTCACGTATGTTGCCAAACCTGTGCAGCAAATCTAAGTAACTGGTTAAATGGCAAACGCTCTTCTATGCCTTTTGCAATTCCAATGATTTGGCGAGAAACAACAAATCATTAGGTACTGTTACTTTTGCATGACAAACGTGTCTGGTTTTTCAAAAAAGAGCAAACACAAAATTGTATATCTGGATATTCCTTCTGCAAGAAGGACGGTTCTTCATGGAGAAGGTTCACCAGTTCCATCAACTCCGGCAAGTTGGGAGGAAGATTTGGAAATGTATGATGACCAGGCAGGTTTCTTTGATGTGCCAGAAAAGACGGACCTTATTTTCCCGAGAGTGAAGGAAGAACACCCCATTTAATCGAACAGCCTGAATTAAATGACCTAGTTCGGGACCTCCACTTGTCCAAAGAGACTATGCAGAACTATTAGGGTCTAGATTCCAACAATGGAATTTACCAGCCCCTAAAACCAAATTCACAATATTTAGGAACCGTAACCTTGAGCTTTCCTCGTTTTTTACTATCCAGTGTGAAATGTGTGTTTGTGTAAATCTGAATGGTGTGATGAAAAAATTAGGATTTGCACATAAACCGGACGAATGACGTTTATTTATAGATTCGTCTAATACAAGTTTATTAGCCGTTCTGCTCCATAATGGTAACAAAAGATCCTCTATTACTCTTACACCTGCAGTTGCCATGAAGGAAACACACGAAAGTATGTCACTTATTCTAAATGCAATAAGTTATAATATATACGTTTAAGTGGAAAATATGTGGTGACCTAAAAGTCATAGGACTATTACTAGGTTTTCAAGGTGGATTTACGAATTTTTGTTGTTTTCTTTGCCTTTGGGAACAGTAGGGCAACACAGAGCCAATATCAACTAAAAGAATGGCCTGCGAGAGATAAATATATTCCAGGTTAAGCTGACGTGAAGAATATACCTCTTGTTTATCCCAAAAACGTTTTGTTACCTCCATTACACATTAAACTGGGGTTAATGAAAAATTTTGTAAAAGCATTAGACGAAGAAGGTGATGCGTTATGCGTTTAAATATCTCAAATACGTTTTCCAAAATTGAGTGATGCAAAGCTCAAGAAAGGTGTATTTGTTGGACCACAAATTATAAAACTACTAAGTGAAAATTACTAAGTGATCTTTTGATCACTTAGTAATGTTGAATTAGCTGCGTGGAATTCTTTCAAAAAAATTGTTTCGGAGTTTTTAGGGAACAAGAAAGTAGAAAATTACGAAACACTTAGAAGAACTACTTGAAAACTACTGTAGAATGGAATGTCACATGTCTCTCAAAATCCACTTCTTGCACTCCCATTTGAATTTATTCCCAGAAAATTTGAGTGATGTCAGTGACGAACAAGGGGAAAGGTTCCACCAAGACATACTGACAATAGAGTAACGTTACCAAGTCAGATGGGATGCAGCAATGATGTGGAATTATTGTTGGTTCCTTATGAGGGAAAATGATAATACATATAAACGAAAGTCAACATTTGCAAAATGGTTATTATGCACAAAAGACTTCATTTGAATGTTTTTTCATGTGTGTTGTNTGCTACTCATGTCTGTTGTGAATAAAGTCTGTTATCCTCAAAATATATTGTTTTTTTCTTGTTTTGATCTTATATTTCCCTATAATACGTGAAAATTATTGTATAAAATAAAAATAAGTACCTATAACTCAAAATATTTACGTGATGGAAAATTTTTAATGTTGAAGTCGCAGACAGGATGCTTTAAACTCTCATGTATAGCCACTATAATGTCACACGCAATTTTTTTTCTTATTTGTTGGCTAGAGTAATTTGTCAGAAATATTTACAAGCTATTTTGGACGAAGTACTTTTTGAATTGCAGACAGGATGCTTTAAACTCTCATGTATAGCCATTATAATGTCACTCGCAATTTTTTTTCTTATTTGTTGGCTAGTGTAATTTGTCAGAAATATTTACAAGCTATTTTGGACGAAGTACTTTTCGAATTGCTGAATATTGCAGCTTTGGTCACATATCCGACTCTTTAATTAGTTTAACTGCTTTTCCTATTGCTCAAACTTTGGTAGTGCAGATCGAAAAATACGAAGAAAGATTACCACTGACAAATTTGGTGAATAGATCCCATATCCAATTTTTATAGAGAAATCCATTGATCCATCTGTGAAAAAAATGTAAATATTTTTTAGAGAGGTCAAATTCTGTGAAGGTCAGCTATAGTACCCAAACTGGTGATTTGGCAAGAAAATTAGGAAGCAGGAGAATATTGTCCAAATGGAAAGATATGTTATGATTGAAGGTAGATTTTTTGTTCGCCAAAAACTGGGAATCGTGCTACATGAGGATGTAAGATATAGATTCTGACAAGATATCAGTTTTGAAACATAATTTGTGACTAACCTATGTGTCTAATTGCTGAAGAATATTCAACACTTCTTGAAAGAATACCTAATATTTGTGGAAATAGATTGGATAGCAGCTATAGTACTATCCTCCTCAAAGTTTCATATCAAGTTTAAAAACAATTGTTGGAAACACCTACCCAGAAAAAAATATCCATTGTTTAGATATGAACGAACCAAGGCCCGATATAGCATAAGAAGTGTGGATACAGCATCACTCCACCAGTCTTTACACAATGACACACAAATTACCTAAACCTCTACCTTCAATTATATGATCAGCACCTGCATTCGTTATGCAATGATATCAGATATCATTCAAAGGATTTCTATGCAATATACTAAAAATGGTAAAATTTCACTTACACAAGCTACACAATTGATTAATAAATCACGATTTTTTATGTCACGGAATAAGTTTGATCTACTTATGTCATCGATGACACTGAGAAGGTTTTTTTCTTCCAGTTTATGTCTGAAAGTTACTTCTTTGCACGATCTACACATCTATGTATAGAGTTACTACTTTCAACATTGTTTGCTTCTTACCTTTCTTTGGAAGATTCCCACTTTTTCTTTTGTAGGGGAAGGATGGATAAAGTGGCCCAGGCAGATAAAGTGGTCACCTTCTTTTTTCGGACGAACCAATAATGGCTATCTGTCAAATACATATGGAAATAATTCATTGGTTGACGCCATATTGTCCCCGTAAACATCGACCGGGTCAGTGCTCGTCTTCAGATTTTATGGTGAATTTAATTCACCATAAAATCTGAAGAAATATGAAAATTGTGTTTTGTGGTATCTGATCTGAGGTGAGTGATTTGAAGACAATGCACGATCTCATCGATTTGGTGGAATAATGGAGCTATTCATTTTGCTGCAAAGTAGATCAATTTAACCTCATTTGTCATTTTTTATTTATTTTTCTCACTGCATGCTAAATCGGATAGAATTGCCCACCAATAGGTAAAGTAAAGTAACCTGGTGGGCTACTTTACCTCCTTAGTGCTAATTTTATCTGCAAACAAATAATGTTTTGTGTTATTTTAGGTATGCCAAATAAATTCACACGGACGTCACAGCAGCATGAATGCAGTTCAGAGGTAATGTATAAAGATATACAAGCTGTACGAAAAGGTGAAATGGCTTATTGAAAGCAAGCGATACCTTCAGTGTTCCATCTTAGTTTAAATAATGAGATCAATTTAGTATGATGTTAATCATTCTTTTATAATCAGACTTTTATAACTCAGTCATTATTCTCTCACTCAGAGTCGCAATTATGGCACACATAATTCTTATCATCACCCACGCATTCCACATGGGACCACATTTTACATTCCATACATTGTATCCACTGTTCATTTGGTGCCTTCTTTGTCTTTTTTCCTTTTCCCTTTTTTTTTGCACATATCAATTTTCTCTCACCTTCTCCAGTATTAGTTTGCAGTACCATTTTCTTGGCTTTATTTCGTTGTTGGTGTTCTTATTCAATTAAGTTTTTTTCGGGAGAATCCGTCAGAATGGCAGTCTTACGTTTTTTAAGACCTTTATTTGTTTCAGTCTTCGGACCCGCTTGTGGTAAAGGTCTAAGATCTTTAGGTGAGAAATTAAACGGGTGGGTAGAATTTGTATATTGCAGCTCGCTAGGTCCTGCCACTAGTGGCAGTAGATCTTTGATCAAAAATTGAGTTAGCTAACAGAGGATCAGTGTCAGCAGAGATCGGGTCCGGTATATTTTGAACAGCCGGTGGTTGGTCATTATTGTTTGACAAATCATTGCTATCTGTATGGTGAACAGATAAGGTCAATTGATGTTGGAAGATCACCAGCTGGAGTACTTAGATCAACTTGAATGGATGATATTGCGTCAGAACTAGTCAAAATATCATTTGGCGGAATTTGTTTGTTAACTTGTAACGGCCGGTCAGTCACAGATGATGGCGCGTAGTCAATAGCAGTAAAAATTTTCTTATTAAATGGACTTATGCCGGTACAGGTGAATCCAGCAATTGCATTTCTATTAGTGACAGAAAGAGGGGAAACCAGCAAATCAGGAATAGCAGACCATGTTTGGACCCATTAACACAACATCGAGTGGTCCCAAGCTGAGATCTTGCACAGAGATTATTTTGGTTAATATAATTGTTATTTTCAGCTATTCATTTTCAATTCTTCTTTTTTAGTTGTTTCAGGAATTTCAAATCATTTCATATAGTAGACAATGGAAGTCTGAACTAGTGAAATTCAATCCCAGAAATGTAATGAATAGTCATCGTTCGACCAGAATGATTTCGCATCCAGTTGTTTGTAGCGGTGTTTATCATTTTATGGCCCAAATACTTCTATCGAAAGGCTGAAGCTTTGTGTGCAATGGGGTGGGAATGATAGCAGTATTATTCCATTTCCTTTACAAAAATCTAGAGCTTGAATCGGTATATGCGATGCATGGTTGTCGAGCAGTAACAAGCATTTTTAATCAACTGTGGGCTTGACTTGTCTCTTAAAATGTTGTAGAAACAGTCAAAATTCTGCATCCTACACCTATCCACTAGCATTGCCAGCTCCAGCACAACCAACAGGACCCTCGCGTATCATGTGGTCTTGGAATCGTTTCAGTGAGAATACGAAAAAAGGCGGGATGTGTCCTCCTTGAGCATTGATGGCAACAGCAACAGTTACTAATCTTCCACGCTCTGCTGAGGTTACTGCACCCACATGTTTATTTCCTTTTTGAGCTACAATTTTGCTAGGTTTTTGGACAGTGCTCACACCTGTCTCGTCTATATTCCAGATATCTTTTGGCTCCAATTGGTACCTATCCATTACCTCAGCAAAGTTATCAAAAAATTTACTCACATTATGCTCGTTGAAACTTGAAGCCCGCGACAGACTTGTTGCTTGAGGACATCTCAAAGACAGGCTCGGGTGTCGTTTTAAAAATCCCGTCAACCATTCCTTACCCGCCATTCGACTACCGTGCCACTTTTCGGGAAATGTTTTTCCATTTTTAATCGCTAACTTGTAGGCTAGTTTACGTACTTCAGATGGAACCCAAAATACACTGCAGAGCACTCAATTAAACAGTCGCGTAGATTACTTTCCTCATTATTATTAAAAACTCGGTTGACACAATGGTAACCCTCAACTGCGTTACATGGCAAACATTATATTTTTTGCCAGGCCTCCAATTTCTGCACCACCTTTAAAATGCTCTTCAGCCGCTTTTCGATACACTTCTGTGTCGGTAGTTCCTCGTTCAGTAGTTCTTATCCTTTGTCGCGGCATTCTGTTGAAGTGAAGACACACATAAAAATATGACAGATAATTAAATCATTACGGGTACAAAAGTAACTTACTTTTGTACCCGTCCACATTTTTGTCAAAACGTCCAACATAACCTTTAAACGGAACGTGTTATACAAAAATGAATTTAAGCAATATATAATCACTCTAATCAAGAATGGAGATTCAAACATTCAGATTACTATCATCCCTTTGAGACTTCGTGAACATTCAATAAAAATACGTCTAAAAACTTATTTTTTGATTTGTGAAAACACGTAATGTCCTGTCACACATCCTAACAACGCATGGCGCACGCAGCGACTGAATGCAATTGAGGGGGGCTCTGGCGGCGGTAAAGCGAAGTTTGTCCATTGGATAAATCTAGAGAGCATTTATTACTTTCGACCCGCTGTTACTTTTGTACCCGGTCTCCCCTACTTAAACACACAACATCCTTCGCAGTATCGCTTTGCAACATATTTCCGATTCCCAAAGCATTGCCTAAGACTAGAAATGTGAATAGAAAAAGAAGTTGTACGGTAATTTTAACCAGCAGCTCATATAAAAATGAGTTGCAAGAAGAAACAGTACAGTAAGAACCAAAGAAAGCTACAAGGAGAGTAAAAAAAGCTACTATTGAACCAACCCTAACTAAAACTGTCAAAAAACTTAAAACTAAAATAAAAAAAAGTGACACGAAAGTTGCTAAAAAGAAAAGTAACAAATATACTGACGACGATGATGACCCTGAATGCTTTCACTGTGGCGAAGTTTGGTCTAAATCAAAACATGAAGATGGTTGAATACAGTGTTCTAGTTGTATGAAGCGTGCCAGGGTTGTGATTTCAACGATGATAACTTTCATTGTGAATTTTGTTCCTAAGAATATTTTCTATTAGGTTCGATTATGAATGAACAAATACAAATAGTTACTTTTGTACCCGGTCTCCCCTACTTAAACACACAACATCCTTCGCAGTATCGCTTTGCAACATATTTCCGATTCCCAAAGCATTGCCTAAGCCTAGAAATGTGAATAGAAAAAGAGGTTGTACGGTAATTTTAACCAGCAGCTCATATAAAAATGAGTTGCAAGAAGAAACAGTACAGTAAGAACCAAAGAAGGCTACAAGGAGAGTAAAAAAGCTACTATTGAACCAACCTTAACTAAAACTGACAAAAAACTTAAAACTAAAATAAAAAAACGTGACACGAACGTTGCTAAAAAAAAAAGTAACAAATATACTGACGACGACGATGACCCTGAATGCTTTCACTGTGGCGAAGTTTGGTCTAAATCAAAACATGAAGATGGTTGGATACAGTGTTCTAGTTGTATGCGATGGGCCCATGAAGCGTGCCAGGGTTGTGATTTCAACGATGATAACTTTCATTGTGAATTTTGTTCCTAAGAATATTTTCTATTAGGTTCGATTATGAATTAACAAATACAAATGAAGAGGTTGTTACTTATACTCTATAGATTAGTAACTAAAAGTTGACATTTATTCGGTTGGCGCGGGTGGCCACTTTACCCTACCGTCCCCTATATAGATGGGGTAGTAGAAAGCCATAAACTTTCTTTCCCAAAAATCAATCACTCCTAAAAATATCATCCTTTCATTTTTGTTAAATATTACAGTATTTTGAAGCTCTCTGTTAATTCACATAAAAATTTCATTTCTCAAGACGCATCAGAAATATTTATTTTTAAGGGCCTCGTAAAGGTCTGCTACTCGGAGCCTCAAAATGATTAGGACCATCTGTTTTTTTCAATTTAGGGTATATATTTTCATATTGAGAATTGAAAGCCCACATATTTCAGAGTCAAATCCAAACACATTCGCAATATATGTAACAAAGTTTATAATAAAGTGATATTTTTTATATTTATTCCGTCAACAATGAAAATAGCATTAGTAAAAATGAACATTACAAATGTGGAACATTTTAAAAAGAGAATTCGAACTGAAATTCAAAGTAACCTAAAAATTTACCAGACGTTTTGGATATTGTCAACCCATGGAGCTCAGTTAGAACATTTGTTAATTTTTTACTGTTTGTGTTTGCAATATAAAACGAATTCAGAAATTATTTTATACTTGGTAGTAATTTCAAATGTTATGGTTGAACTTTCAGTTTTTATTATGAAAACATACCCTTTTAATATAAAAAAATGACGATGGCGTCAATCTTGTAAGATGGTGGAGCAATACACGTTTTTGAAAAAGTGTAAAACTAAAATAAAAAAATTAGACCTGTTACGAGCTCTACCTCTGAAAATGATTCAACTCCTATATAAGATACTGAATCAATTTCCGACTTTATAAACACACTGTGTATCAATTAGCATATCTTTGATAGTTTTGAAGATATTTCAATCATATGGTCTATACTATGAATTCAAATGCCTTCATTTTGGAAATCGTGACTACGAAACATTTTAGTCGAAGTTTGTCATCAATAGCTAATATTTCATAATTACAGTTGTGGTAGTTCTCCAGATGTTTCAATTTTTATATACAGGGCTATTCAAATTCGTTTCTATACATGGGGATCTCGCAAACGATAAGAGATAGAGTAGGTAGGTACTTATGATGCACTGTTTGGAACCTTTGGAGTATAATGAATATTACTGGAGTTTTTTCCCAACACCAAATCGTTATTTTTAACACCTCGACACGTGTTTCGATCACCAAGTGATCATCTTCAAAGAGGAAGATAAAACTAGAAACTAACGCTATTTGTGCTATACAGGGTGTTTCTTAAACACATGCTAATATTTAAGGAGGTAATTCTTAGACCCATTTTAAGGAAAAAACGTCCTATGGACGTATGTCCTAAACGCCTTAACTTTTGAGATACAGGGTGGCAAAGTTTTCAAAAATAATCAGTTTTTTAATAATAACTGAGATAATTTTGTAGACATCTTTGGCATATTTGGTACATATGTTCCATGCCTCAAGGCG